CAAAATTAATAAGAAAAAGTGTTCTCCCGAGAAATTTTGGTGTAGTCGATTTTTGGTAAAAAAGGAAGGTTATACACTGCCTTTTTTTGGGGCCCGAAAAAAAAAATGTCTCAGATCGACCCGGAAAAAAAATTTTCTTATAGAATGTGGCCTGTAGAATCCATAATTTCAAACAGTTCCAAGATTGGGCTACTAGTTCAAAAGTTACAGCCGTTTGAATTTTTTTTCGAAATTGGTTTCTAGTCTATAACTTTTGATTGAGAAGTCTGATCGAAAAAGTACGAATTGTTTTGGATTCTACGCACCAAAATTAATAAGAAAAAGGGTTTTCCCGAGAAATTTTGGTGTAGTCGATTTTTGGTAAAAAAGGAAGGTTATACACTGCCTTTTTTTGAGCCCCGAAAAAAAAATTTTCTCAGATCGACCCGGAAAAAAAATTTTCTTATAGAATGTGGCCTGTAGAATCCATAATTTCAAACAGTTCCAAGATTGGGCTACTAGTTCAAAAGTTACAGCCTTTTGAATTTTTTTTCGAAATTGGTTTCTAGTCTATAACTTTTGATTGAGAAGTCTGATCCAAAAAGTACGAATTGTTTTGGATTCTACGCACCAAAATTAATAAGAAAAAGTGTTTTCCCGAGAAATTTTGGAGTAGTCGATTTTTGGTAAATAAGGAAGGTTATACACTGCCTTTTTTTGGGGCCCGAAGAAAGAAATTGTCTCAGATCGACCCGTCGATTTTTGGTAAAAAAGGAAGGTTAGTTTAATTCAAATACTATGCGAAGTATTCGAATACTAAATATTTGTGAAAGTATTTGAGTTAAAAATACAAATACCGCTTCCATAAAAGTATTTAATTACAAAGGACTTGTATACTAAAAAGTATTTACAAAATCGAATACTGCCCAGCTCTGCTTCTGGTATGCAGAAAAATCATTCAAGACCTCCTGGCAGTAAAAGGCTTTTCTAACATACTGATACCCTTTATATTGGCAGCAGAAACACTTTGCACGTTATACTCTCATGATATACATCTAAGTATAGTTTTGAAACTTTTCTCTTAAAAATCGAAAAATACCTCTTCCACCACATGTTTTCTTGGTGCTACTCCGTGTACTACCTAGGAGCAGAAACACCTTCACGGATATTATACTCTCCTGATACCAGATTGTGAAACTTTAAGTCAAAATAAGGGGCTGAAACATTTTTCTCAATAATGGCCTCCTAGCCCATTATGTCCTCCTGATACCTAGCAGGATACACTCTTTATTGGTACGTTTATATTCTCTCGACACAGGATTCGAAAATGTTTAAACGAACAAAATCTGTAGCTAGACAAATTTTACGATACTTTTCTGTGCATTAGAAGCAGAAACAATGGATAAAGACTTCCTCGTTCAGTAAGTTCTGTTGGTATTCAATGGTCGAGCGAGCCATCGGCGAATTCGACACAAATTCAGCGAAAATTTAGCAATCCTACACTTTTACCATGCATTTAAGAAGATATATACGCGGGTCTCAGTTAAGGAGGCAGAGGACTCGCTGTCTTACTGGACTTGTAAGAAAACATCGCTTGACTGGTATGGGCACCTGGGGCAAAATTGCTGAGGTTCGTCGAATTTGTGCCGAACTCACCTTCGGTTCGCTGAAGAATTGCATGTGTGAAGTTTCGCATCAAATTAAAGTGATTGAACTAGAAAAATCGTAAAAGACACTTGCTCCACATTCAATTCAGCAAAATTCAGTAAAATTTCAGCAATTGTACTCCCTTATGAATTTAAGGATAATATTTGTGCTGAATTCACCTTCGGTACGCTAGACGCGTACATATTAATGTCAAATAAGTGATTGAACTGGAAAAATCCTAACAGGCACTTGCTCTACATTCAATTGCCGAGCGACACAAATTCAGCAAAATTCAGCAATTCTACACTCTTACCATGCATTTAAGAAAATATCTACTCGGGTTTTGGGTCAGAAAGCAGAGAATTCGCCGTTGTACTGGGATTGTAAGAAGACGTCGCTTGAGTGGTATTAGCACTTGGGGCAAAATTGCTGAGGTTCGTCGAATTTATGCCGGACTCACCTTCGGTTCGCTCGCCAATTGCATATGTACATATTGACATCAAATGTATGATTGAACTAGAAAAATCGTAAAACACTTGCTTCACATTCAGGCAAATTCAGCAAAATTCAGCAAAAATTCAGCAATTAAACTCTCTTATCGTGCATTTAAAGAAAATATTTGTGCCGAATTCACCTTCGGTGCGCTAGATGCGTACATATTGATGTCAAATACGTGATTGAACTAGAAAAATCGTAACAGACACTTGGTCTACATTCAATTCAGCAAAAATTGAGCACTCTTTCCATTTAAAAGAGTACGCGGGTTTCGGATCACGACTCAGAGAACTCGCTGTCTTAATGAAATTGAAAGAAATTGTTACTTGAGTGGTTGCTGAGGTTCGTCGAATTTGTGTCGAACAAATTCAGCAAATATTCAGCAATTTTACTGTCTTGCAATGCATTTAAGAAGATATTTACACGGGTCTTAGGTCAGGAAGTAGAGAATTTGCGATCTTATTGAGACCTTAGTACATTTTGTTTGAGTGGTATAGGCACTTGGGGCAAAATTGCTGAGGTTCGTCGAATTTGTGCCGAACTCACCCTCGGTTTCGTTCGGTAATTGCATGTAGACATTTTTACTACAAATAAGTAATTGTACCAACTCGAAATTATTGAGCCCTTAGCAAAATTATAAATTAATTAATTGTTGCTAATTAATTAAATGCCACCAATTTTCCGAACTTAGTCAAATTAGGAACAATTCGTATCTTAATTACTTGGGGGTAATTAGACTAAAAATTTACGTAATTTGACGAAACAGAAGATGTTTCTTCCTGGTTTGGGGTTAGTCGGAAGGCCTATGACCCTCGGCCGTAGTACTTAGCAATTTGCATCGTTAAACTGCACGCAAGAACGCCCATTTAATTAGCGATTGATATTCCCTTACGTACGGTAATTGGCAGCGTAAACAATACAAAAGATGTCATCTCGCGCACTCTGTATGCAAATTGGTGTCAGAGTGTACATTGCACTACTTACTTATTGCGTGAAAAGTGATAGTAATAATAATAATTATAGAACCGTTGAAGGCCTTTAAGTAATTAAGCGTAATTGTTACAAATTGCGCACTTTATTAAAACGCGCGAGATGCGTGCTGCCCCCTAAACGCGTTCGCCAGCATCACCCAAAAGGGGGTTGAACAAAAAATCAATACCGCCGAAAATCTTCAACCCCCAAAAACGCTTCGTCTACCCTACGGTAGAGAGCGCCTCCGCGTCGTCGTCGTCGGCGCGCTGGCGTGCTCTCTTCTTTTGTCTCGCTAGAAAAATCATTAATGGCCAATTGTAAAGAAGAGGAGAGAAAAAAACGGGGAATCATTTGTGTGTGCGTCTTGTGTGTTATTAACGAAAAGTCTCGCATTCAACGCGTACGAAACGGTAGGCAGTGGAATTCTAAAACCACTTTTTACTAAACTTGACAATCGTCCGTCAATGTCAGAAGTTCGTCAGAAATGCAGCGATTCTTTTGTCTTGGCGAATGCCGCCTTTTGTTCCCCTTGCCTTTTGCAGCCTTAAATATTTTTGAGCTTATAATTCTACAATTTATATTTCGGTTCTGAATTTTAGGAATACTTAGGGGCCGCCGGGCGGTTATTTGAAACTGGCGTACATTTCTGTTTTATATTGCCCTTTTTTTATGCCTCGTTCGATTTTGTTTTTAATTTCCAGTCGTATATCATATTTTCTATAATTAAATGAGTTCGTCTGGATCTTTTTTGGTCTTCGTATCTCGGTCTGATGCACGATTAGGATTCCAAATTAGACCACTCATAATTTTGCATCAAAAAAATAGCTTTTGACTTGAGTACTGAATTTTTAATGTGCGACTTTGAACTTCAAAGGTTAAGAGTCCACTTTGTAAACCTTGTGGGAACCTAAGGCAAAGGCTAAACGGTGATTATGGAATCGGAATATCGGAATAATTAAAAACCAATTAAGAGATACGCAGAATTAGAATTGGAAAATTCTTTCCTTTTTCCTGATTCCTCAGATATCTTTTCCTTTTAAATTCTTCCAATTCTGCCCTTTGGATTCATTATCCACGCCAAATCCTTCCATTACATACACCTACTTCGGATGCTTCGAATCCTTCAAAATACCTATTTGGTTGTTTTTGATTTTTCACGGTTTTTGGATTCTTCAGATTCTGTCGCTTCAAGATTTTTTGGATTACTCGAAATTCGAATTTCTTCAGATTCAACAAAATTCAGATTGTTCAGTACCTTTGGATTGACATAATTCACATACGCATAAATACAAAACGATCAATGGCCCACTCACAAAATGTACAGGGTGAGTAGTAATAGGCATTACTCGATTTGGGTATACTACCGGGCGGTCTGGGGGGTATGGAAGCCAAATAGAAAACTTCCATACCCCCCAGTGGTACCCTCTCTCACAAAACGTTATACCCTCAGCACTTTTGTGGGATTTTATAAGAAAGAGCCATCGAATCTTCCTTTCCGGATGAGAATGAGTATACCGGGGGGTCTGGAGGTGGGGGGGGGGGGGGAATACCCCCGAAGCAAATAGAAATCGGAAGATTCTTTTCCTAAATTCATCATCATCATATAATGAAATGATTTGAATATTCGTAGAAATGAGGGTTTCGTACACTGGGGGATATTCCATGCCCCCCCAGACCCCCCGATGATACGTTCTCTCACAAAACGTTATACCCTGAGCGCGTTTGTAGCGGCTTATAAAAAATCATAAAATTTTCCTTTTTGAACTGTGTCGAGTATACCTACAACCGGGGTACCTGGGAGTATGGAATAACCCCATGCAAATAGAAAACTGGAACATTGGGTTATCTATACTCACTTGATTCAATCACACAAACTAAGTGAAAGATTCGGCTGCGCTACATTATGTCTACTTTTTTGAGCAGCCCGCGCACAATCTTAAAGAATGCTCAGACTCTTCAGAACCCTCAGACTCCTCGGATTTCTCAAACTCCTCAGACTGCCCCGACTCCTCCGACTCCTCAGACTCCTCAGATTCGTCAGACTCTTCATACTCTTCAGACTCTTCAGACTCTTCAGTCTTTTCAGACGCTTCAGACTCCTCAGACTCCTCAGACTCCTCAAACTCCTCAGACTCTTCAAACTCGTTAGATTCCTTAGTCTCCGCAAACTCCTCAGACTGCTTAGACTGCTTAGACCCCTCAGACTCCTCAGGCTCCTAACTCTTCAAACTCTTCAGACTCGTTAGACTCCTCAGACTCCTTACACTCCTCCTCCTTCTTCCTTAAGATTCTTCCTTCAGATTCTTCCTTCAGATTCTTCCCTTCGATTCTTCCTTCAGATTCTTCCTTCAGATTCTTCCTTCAGATTCTTCCTTCAGATTCTTCCTTCAGATTCTTCCTTCAGATTCTTCCTTCAGATTCTTCCTTCAGATTCTTCCTTCAGATTCTTCCTTCAGATTCTTCCTTCAGATTCTTCCTTCAGATTCTTCCATCAGATTCTTCCTTCAGATTCTTCCTTCAGATTCTTCCTTCAGATTCTTCCTTCAGATTCTTCCTTCAGATTCTTCCTTCAGATTCTTCCTTCAGATTCTTCCTTCAGATTCTTCCTTCAGATTCTTCCTTCAGATTCTTCCTTCAGATTCTTCCTTCAGATTCTTCCTTCAGATTCTTCCTTCAGATTCTTCCTTCAGATTCTTCCTTCAGATTCTTCCTTCAGATTCTTCCTTCAGATTCTTCCTTCAGATTCTTCCTTCAGATTCTTCCATCAGATTCTTCCTTCAGATTCTTCCTTCAGATTCTCCCTTCAGATTCTTCTTTCAAATTCCTTTGAACTCTTCGGACCCTTCGAAATCTTCGGACTCTCCGGACTCTCCTAACTCTTCGTATTTTTGGATTCTTCTGATTCTTCGGTTTCATCGGATTCCTCGGACTCTTCGAACTCTTCGGATTCTTCAGATTTTTCGGATTCATCAGATTCCTCGCACTCTTCGGACTCTTCAAACCTCGGTTATAGACTAGAAACCAATTTCGAAAAAAAATTCAAAGGGCTGCAACTTTTGAACTAGTAGCCCAATCTTGGAACTGTTTGAAATAATGGATTCTGCAGGCCACATTCTATAAAAAAATTTTAATTCCGGGTCGATCTGAGACAATTTCTTTTTCGGGGCTCAAAAAAAGGCAGTGTATAACGTTCCTTTTTTTCCAAAAATCGACTACACCAAAATTTCTCGGGAAAACACTTTTTCTTATTAATTTGGGTGCGTAGAATCCAAATCAATTCGTACTTTTTCCATCAGACTTCTTAATCAAAAGTTATAGACTAGAAACCAATTTCGAAAAAAAATTCAAAGGGCTGTAACTTTTGAACTAGTAGCCCAATCTTGGAACTGTTTGAAAATATGGATTCTACAGGCCACATTCCATAAGAAAATTTTTTTCCGGGTCGATCTGAGACAATTTTTTTTTCGGGGCTCAAAAAAGGGCAGTGTATAACCTTCCTTTTTTACCAAAAATCGACTGCACCAAAATTTCTCGGGAAAACACTTTTTCTTATTAATTTGGGTGCGTAGAATCCAAATCAATTGTACTTTTTCGATCAGACTTCTCAATCAAAAGTTATAGACTCGCTTCAAACACTTCGGACTCTCCGGACTCTTCGGATTCTTCAGTCGTCAAATTCTTCTGATTATTCAGATTGTTCAGTCTTCAGATTCATCAAATTCTTCAAGTTCATTAAATTCCTCAAATTCAACCAATTCATCAAATCGTTAAATTCGTTAGGTTCTTTAAATTATTCAAAATCTTCATCTTTTTACTCTGCAAATTCGTCAAAATCTTCAAATTCTTCAAATTCTAAAAAACCTTCAAATTTGTCAGATTCTTCAAATTCTTCAAAATCTCAAAATTTCCCAAACACACTGCACTCCAAATTCATCAAATTCCTGAATCGAAATTGTTAAATTCTTGACATTCTCCAGTCTTGAAATTCGTCAAATTCTTCCAACTCTTCAAGGACTGACAATTCTTCAAATTATTGGTTCTTTAACTTCTTAAGATTACTCTAATTCTTTAAATTCTCCAAACTTCACTCTGCAAACTCTTCGCTCTGCAAATTCGTCAAATGCTTCAAACTCTTTAAACACGATTCTTCAAATCTCGAATTAAAGTATGTCAATTTTTTTTTTTAATTCCCCAAGGCCCTTCTATTTTATGGATTTTTCAGACGGTGTACAAAGATTTTGAAGAATTTGAATAACGTGGAAGATCCCATTAACTAGAAGAACTTGAGAAGAAGAATTCCAAAAAGTGGAAAACCTCATAAATTTGGAGAGTATGAGCAATTAAAGAAAATTCAAAATGTGTCGCCATAGTCGAAAATGAGTTCGTGTCGTAGCCGATTTCTATCCTTCGTATCGGAGCGCGGGGATGCGGCATGGCAGCCAGATCTCTCCAAGACATGTGCTTGAGTAAAGTGGATTGAAAAAAATTGGTTGATAAATTTGAATTAAACGAAGAAATGGAAACAAGCATTAGAAAAAACGGAGTAGTCCAAAATAGTCTCAATGTTAATATCAAGAGCTGAACGAATTGAAAGACTATTGAGTTTTTTAAAGAATTTGAGTAGCACAGAAAATCCCACGAATTGGGAGAATTTGAAAACTACGAAGCGTATAATATTCAATAAAGAGAATATTGCGATACGATAGGATATGATATTGATGAGATTGGTTAGTTTGAGGAATTTTAAAGAGTATAAGGAACTATCGGTGAAGCTCAACTGATCTCAAGATTTTGAAGAATAAAGAATTTGAAGAATTAAAAATTTTTTTAATGAAAAATTCAAAATTAAAAAAAATGGAAGAATCTAAAGAATTCTAAAATATTTAAAGAACTTGAGCTTTTTATTAATTTGGAAAATTTTTAAAGAATAAAAATTGCGAAAAATTCGCGTTACCCGGCGTGTACGCGACCTTATCGAAAAGTCGCCCTTGCGTCGAGAACAATCGATAGCATTGCATTGTCAAATTCAAAAAATAAGGACGCGCATTTAATCGAAATTAGTTTCGGAAGGTTTAATTACCTTACCCCCGTTTTCACGGCGCGGAGCGTCGTCGCGAGCGTCCCGCTTTAATTTTTTTTCATGCCAGCGCATCGGCTTTAAGGCGAGACGGGCGATACACCTACTTGTATATCAATGAGTAGGTGGCTATGATATTAAATGGCCAAAAAATAACCTGCGTCGCGACGCTCGCTTTGAAGCCGCGCGGCACGCCATATAATTTTCCCGCTGTCCTACTTCGATGGTCGCCCCGCAATTTGGGGAGAAAACTCGACGGTCTCGCTTTGTAATTTAATAAAGCCCCGAGTTTTTTCCCGTGGTTTACGGTTACATGTAATTTAGCCGGTGGACGTCGAAATTCTAATTCTTGAAGTCCCTGTCCCAAAAGCGTTGCGCGCGCCTGCTGTTTGCACGTGAACCAAAATCGAGCAAAAACTTCAGTGTTTTACGCGGCACCGACGTCTTTTCCACCGCTTTTGTTCAAAGATGATTAGTTAATACGATCGGACGACGTCGCCGTCTAATTGCCAAACCCGCTGGAAGAGTAAGTCGACGCCGACGACGTCTCGGACGCGCACGGAATGTACTGTGATTCGCAAACTTGTGGCTGTGCTAATTTTGGGGGTTTTTGGGAACAAAATGCACTTCTTTGAGTCTTTCGTTAACTACAAGGTATTGGGTGTTTGCATTGTTTTTTTGTACACGTCTCGCACCTTTCTCAAAACTTTGTACACCAATCTCTATGTACCGGAGGGTGAACCACGTGTGAAGAAGATCTTAAGGTAACTCTTAGAATAACGTTATGGCGCCGTCGCGTGAGTGCAACGGTCCAGGTCGGGAGCACTGTGGCACTCCGCGAGAAAATAATTGCGATAAGTGTAATTTTTAGGGGCCGCTTGTGACAACAGGTTGCCTACGGGGGCGAATTAATTTTAGGACGCAATCGATACACTGAGACAGGTACCCCAATAGCTTTCACATTAGTTGGGGTTCAAAGTTCGACGAAATTCATTTTTTTTATCGATTCCGTCTCGATTAGCCCGCCAACGTCTGATGAAACGGAAGGCCGTACCAAGGCGCGCAACTTCGCCAACGCGGAAACCCTTCCAAGGTTTCGTAAGCTGTCGAGAAATGTAAAAGAAAATATTTTTCATTCGCGGTTTCTACCATCCCTGATGGGTAATTCGACCCCACACACGCACACGTGTTCGGCTGTTGCGCCCCCTCCACTCGTCCTGCGGCTACCTTTCGGTCGACGGAGGGACATTTTTTTTCTTTCGGAAAATACTCCTAGTGAAACCACTTATGTGACATTCCTGATATCCTGATACCACAATTTGTTTTTCAGTAAAACTGGAAATCTGTGATCCTGATATAAAATTTCTGCGACCATGAGACAATGCAGCTCGCGTGAAACAGAAATTTGTATCACAAAATCATTGTGAAAACGTATTTTTTTAAATAAATCTTGAAACCTTACGTTTTCTGTGATCCTAATACAAACTGCTTTAAATGCGTGAGCACAAAACGTAAGGGGAATGACTAGTAATAATTGTTAAATTTTCCCATTTCTGCGATCATGATACTCCATTGAGACATTTGTATCAGAAAAGCATAGGATATGAAACCTACTAATCTCTATCAATAATTTTTCAAACTTTCCATTTCTCTGATCCTAATAGAACCATTTTTAAATGAGCGACTTGACCCAGGACAAATTAAGAAGTGAGGGAGCGTCATTAAACTATAAATCTTATTATATTTCTGAGGTCCCAATGCAAAAAAGGAGGCAACGGTTTTAGGTTTTACACGTGCTTGCATTTTTAAACGAGCCTGTTCAAACCTCCACTCATTTCTGTGATCCTGATACCGCATATTTTAGAGGAATCTTAAGGAGACAGTGACCATGATCGATTTCGGTAGCCGTGATATGATGATAAAATCGCACATAAAGGAGAATATTGTGACAGGCGATGATAATACGCGAACTTGTGTTTTTTAGTAAACCTTTCTATGATCTTGATACATTTTAATGGAAAATCTTGAGCATAACACGTGAGAAGATGACTAATAATAATTTTTCACAACCTCTTCGCGTTTTTGCGACTCTGATACTGCAACGTCCCTTGACCCAGACATTTTATAACAAAAAATGTGAGTTTGTTTAACGAGAATTGTATTTAGGAAAGCAGAACGCGCGAGAAAACTAAAACTTCTTCGTGATTCTGCGATTATCATACCACAACCTCCCTTGAAAAAACACCAATTTGATCAAATGAGGAAAAGTGCCTTTTTTAAATAAATCTTGAATCTCCTAATAAAGCGCGAAATCGTATTAGGGAAACAGAACACATAACAAGATTACTAGTAGTAATTGTAGAAGACTTCCCCGCTTTTCTGCGATCATGATACTGCAACATTCTAACACTGGGGGGTGGGGGTGGGGGTATGGAACCTCCCAGCCACCCTATGGTATCAATTCCAGGAAAAAAAGCTCTCGGAATTTTAATAAAAATTCGCGACCAGGAGGTCTGGGAGGTACCCAGACCCCCTAAGGCGTACATCCCAGGATAGAAGAGCTCTGGGAATTCCAATAAAAATTCGCGAGGGATATTCACGAAATATGTCTTTCCTGGAATGTATTTGTTCCATACCTTCAAAAAAATAATAAAAATCTGATGGCCCTCCTTAAAAAATGGTCACAAGTGTAGTGAAGGTTTAAAAATTTGAAGGAGAGGTATTACATACCACCCAGACCCCCGCTGTTAGACTCTCCTCGGAATTGTTAAAATTGAACTGCTAAGGGACATCAATGTATTGGAAAATCGAACACCGAGGGAGGAAGGGGGAGTCTAGGAGGTGTGGAATACCCCCTAGTTCCTTAAGGTATACATTCCAGGAAAGAAGAGCC